GCTAACTGTGGTGTCACCAAAGTGTGCTTCAGTCAGCCTTCAAACTGTGACCCAGCGGTCAGCGCTAGCTGTTATTTCATGTCAGCCATGATGTTAGCCGGTGGTACAGCTGTGCAGTATGAGATGACTGGTCCTTATGAAGGCTACATCGCTTTTGGATTCTCTGATGATCGGAAGATGGTAGTGTAATGAAAATGTTCTTGATTCTATGACTTGTTACATTTTTTAAGAGATAACAATAATAAGGCTCTTGGCATTCTTGTACATGAGCAGCACCTGTGGGTGAACAGCTGCTGTTACAACTTCAGTTTGTTTTTGAAAGGTCACAATTTTTAGAAAACATCTGGTTGCCTTGTTTTCCCAAACAATATCAACAAGTTTGGATTTCCCCCCCCCCCAAAAGAATTAATCATTAAATAATAGTTAAAAACTTTCATATGTGTTATAAGCATGCTAATTCTTTACTATATTTGTCTTTCCTCAGGGAAACGATGACATTTATGTTTGTGGAATGAACAGTAATGGACAAGTTGGTGTGCAACATATGTATTCAACAGGACTTACAACTCCACAAGTTGTTCCTCTGGTACTAAAGTTTTTTTGTTTTCGGTGTTTTTTTTGGGGTTGGACGTTTTGGTTTTATTGTTTTGTTTCTGCTCTTAAAAATTGTGAAATTTCTTATGTGTCCTACAGGGGAACGTTTATAATATAACAACGTCATTGCAGAACAATGTCATCAGTTGTTCCTTCACTACTACGGAGATAATTTCTATACAGGGGACTTCAGGTTTCAGCCAATCCTACTACTTCATGTTTGTCCACGGACCCAGCAGCAATGGTAACGTACATGTGCCAGACTGTTTCTTACACCACAGCAGTGTAGTTTATCTAACTTAACCTATCATATTAGTAAATTGAAGATGGCATGCAATGAAGAAGACTATGGACTTCATAATATACTTAGAGAAAATAGCACATATGTCTCAAGACATGCATGCAGGTGATTGGATGAAAACGATACCTACTAGATAAGGAGTGTCCAAACTCTTCATGTCAAGGCTACATGGTGGTGAGGGTTTGTCGCTCATAAGAAAGATCTTATTTACATGTGCAATCTTTAAGCACTTCACTCTGAAAAAACGTACTAATAACAAAATTATACTCAAGTAAATACTTTTATTTTGAACAGTTAAGCAGGACCTTTGATTGTACTTCCTTTTCCAATCATGTGAACATTTTAAAAGAAGTCACATGTTTAACAACCCTGGCCAGTTTATGTAAAAAATAAACATGTTTCATTGTCTATGTAAACCTTAAAGTGTTTTTCTTTTGTAAAACGACAAAAACATTAAATAAAAATATCAAGGAATCATACACCAGCATGTATCTAAATTTTTGATTACAGATTCAGACTTACTCAGCCATTGTTGTTGTTGTTGTTGTTGCCATGGTTGTTGATCAATGGTCATGGTCATGAGAATTTGCATAATTATGATTAAGGAACTGACCTCCCAGCCCATAGTACATTTGCATAATGACTGAAACCAGCCCACTGAAGGAACAGTTTATAAGATTGAAACCTGCAGTCAGCTGAGACAGAAGAAGTCACCTGGATGAGTGACAAAACATTTCTTCCAGAAAACGCTACGTCCAGATGAACAGAATCAACTTTTGGAAATACTCAGCCATTAGCATTAAAATAATGTGTTTCATGCATGGCCATGTAATCACTTTCATCACCTTTCAATACTTCAATGTTTCGTCTCGACTGAGAGAGCAGGTGGTTATTTTCCTTCATTTGTCCTGGCCGTGTTACTCTTTTTTGATTCAACATATACAAACAGTTGTGTATAAGCTTTGCGATATCTTTCCTACAGGACAAATCCAATTCCATAAGCACGACTTCGTCAGCACTACTAAGATGGCCATTCCTACTCCTGTGGTTGTCAGTAAAAGGAGATTTCCTGATATCATCAAAGCTCATGGTAAGATCCTGCACAGAGAGGTCTCTGTGTGAAAGAGTCACTATGTAAAGTCCTTTGTCGCTTACTTTGGCCAACCAGTTGACAGTTGGTATACTGTGTTAACCAGTGAATAGTCAGGATCCTCAGAGGATAAATGCTACTGGGAACATGGGAAGACATTGAATTTTTTTTCTTCCATTAAGATTAAACTATTTTATCTATAATACCAAGTAGACTTCCATTTCTGTTGTATTTCACAGCGTTTAATGACTACATTAGATTAGATGAAACTTTATTAATTCCTTGGGTTGGTTCCTCCGGGAAATTCAGTTTAATCCCTCGACGTGACAAAATAGACCAAAAACGTGGATTGGGTTTTACAAGTTAGATGCATATTTCTTGGCAGTAACTCTTGCCTCTTTCATGAGACAGTGACTTATCATCATGCAAAACAATCATTTGTAACATATTGTACGAATGTACACCATCAAAATCGATTGTTTGTATACAGTTTGAAAGCTATAAAAATATTTCTGTTGTACTTCTAATGGCTTTCCTTGGTTGGTTTAATTCTTTTTACAGTAAACTGATATATAGACTAAAGACATGTTGGGACCAGGGAAAGAAATTCATCTTAACTCATAAAACAAAGAGAAGTGGAGAGAACTCCAATACTAAACTCTGTTTCAGGGTCACTGATGCTGATTGCCTGGATGACCACGGGAACACTGGGAATGATGGTTGCCCGATATCTGAAAAAAATGGCCAAGGGAACAACAATGTGCAACAAAGATCTCTGGTTTGTGGTGAGTCATAGAAAAAAAAAAATTAAGTATTATATGTCAGATATGTTAGACTTTTAAGACAGTTGGTCCAAGCTTAATCTTATTTGGGAACTGTTGATTTTGTATATGTTTGGCTGGCTTAACATCATGTTGTTTTCTTTGTGTTCCTCCAGGTCCATGTTGGAGTAATGCTGCTGACGGTAGCAGCCACAATCATTGCTTTCATCCTCATTTTCGCTCATACTCGGGACTGGTCTGGGGTTGGTACACTAACTCTGCTAGTATCAGAATTATTACAGTTTTATATTTTTTAATTACAGATCAATCAAACAACAAAACTGGCTTTACCTTTGTAACACACTATCATTTTCCAGTAAATAACGATTTTTATGATATGAACTTGGTCCTAGTGTTGAAGTTCACAAAGGTTTTGGTTGTAATTACTGAATACCAATTATTGTTTATTTACATGAATCCAAATATCCTTCAGATTTTATTGTACCACATTTGAGTCTCCTTTAATACCAGCTTTAAAATGTTCTGCAATTAGTAAATCTACGGACAAGATACTGTGTGTGTGTGTGTTACAAAAGCACTTAGGCATAGATAAAAGTGCTAAATTAAGTGTGTTTGTGCATGGATAACCAACGGTAGTACTAGTACTGCTCAACCCAAGGATATATATGACTGCTATTAGGATTGATAAAGTCCAAAATAGCACTATTTGTGTACCTTCATGTAGGATCTATTCAATTCATTTCAACTTTATTTATATAGCGCCAAATCACAACAACAGTCACCTCAAGGCGCTTTATATTGTACAGTAGATTCTACAATAATAGATGCAGAGAAAAACCGAACAATCATATCTCGGAAGCACTTTCCTTAGCAATGCTGTTGGATACCTCGATACTTTGTAAGCTAACTAAGTTAGGTTATGGAGTTAAAATTTCCAAGGACCTTATTGTTGATCTTTATTTCAGGCATGCTGGCTGTTGACTATAGATCAGTAATCAGGGTCGAGGAAGTCATGAAAAAGTGATCTAGTGACTTTTGTCTTTGCCTTTAGGCGCTGAGCATTAATTTTACCTCCGTCTGTCTTGTGTGTGATCTGGATGGCTATATTTAAGTCTTTGAAAGCAGAGAGAAGCAACATCTAAAACGGAAGCTGAAGAGTGTTGGAGCATCCTTGCT